GATCACTTTTTCTGATCAAATTCAGGCCTATATAATCTGACTTGCTGTATCTTTTACCCTTAAAAATCATTTGTTAGAGTCATTATACAGTAGCTGTAAATTCCTCAGCCAACAATCACAGGTAAGGGATTAGGAGTAAACTATGGGATCTCTCTATTACTGTATGGTTTTCCTTCTCTTCTCATACCAGATAATACTATCTTTAGTTTTAATTCTGAATTTAAAAACTGCTTTTTTCCTTTAAAACGATTGAAGCATTGAAAGACAAAGGGGTTAAATATACTTAAGAGGATATTTCACTGCAAAAAGTACAATATAGGATAGTGTATGACAAAACTAACATTTTCAGTAAGAAATTAGGGATTAACGGTAAATAGAGATGATAACAGATTAAATTCTACTTAGTAAAATGAAAACAATGATTTAAACCATCTAAATCATCATTTAGATATGATGATCTGAGAAAATATTAAGATTGGTCCCTCAAGAAATGAGAATGAGCAAGTATGGCACCAAGTAAATGGTACGTTTGACACTGAGATAATCAAGTGGTTAAAACAGTGCATTTAAGATTCAGTGGCTGTGTGATCAGGTGAATTCAAACACTCCTGGTCAACAAGTAAATACTGTGTCCACTTTTGGGTATTACAGGTCAAAAAGGATAGTGACAATTGTTTCTCATAATAGAGGATAGTAAGCAGTGAGTTTAGGATATATAATCAAATGAGTACTCCGATTTATTCATAAATGTTTTGGAAGTGACCAAATTGTCTGAGGATCAAGGAGAGAAACTAGAAAATCCCAAAAGAATGCCTTCATTCTGGAGGGTGAACAAATGGAATTTAGTGAAAAGTATTACATATGGAAGGTTTTTAAAATGTTACATTTACATTTGTAAGGTTATAAGCAACTGAGAGAGAGTTCTTGGGATTATGATGGATAAAAATGTTGATTTAGTGCAGTTTTCCCCAATGTGACCAATCTGATGTGAAGACCTCTGAGAATTATCCTGAATTCTCTGCTGTAATGAAGAAAGCTGGGAAATTCTGGGTGTTGAAATCCACTTGCCTAGAAGTTGATAGGGTTATGATTGCTTTGGAAAGTAAAGTCCATATTGGGAATTGTAGGGAAAGAACCAAGATACAATTTTATTGCATTTGTGCTAATCAGAAGTATAACTTAGATCCTTAATGGTAAAGTTTTGATTCATTGACTATGGAAACTATTTGAAATATTGCATACAGTGCTGTATGAACACCATTTCTGAAAAGGTACTGAAAAACAAACAACTGTTCAGACTCAACCAGGTCAGCTTTCTTAATTGAAGCTAACCAGATCTTAACAGTTACTTGCTTGTTTTGCATACTTATCTAATTGTGTCTCATTCAATAAGCTATGGTTAAGTAAACCATGGCTTGACATGGGGGGGGGGGGAGAAAAGGGAGAAGCAATATATTTAGGTAGAAAGGTTCTTTAGGCTCTCTAATTTAGCAAAAAGTGATTGAAAAGAGAAATTAGAGACATCAACTAAATTGTGTTAGTATGGTTGAGATGCTGGACTTGGACTGTATCTCAACCATTCTAGCAGTTTAGCTTGATGTGTCTCTAATTTCACTTCCCTTTTGACTGTGTAGATTAACCATCTTGTTTTAAAAATGCAGTGGTGGGGGGTGAAAATGTATTGAACAGGGAGAGAAAAAGCTGTCAGTAGAAGATAATCAAATTCAAGCATACCTGTTATAAAAACTGTTGATTCTTCAGAGAGATTTGCAGTTCAGATGAAAAGAAGGATCACAATATTTAATAATGCCTTTAACAATAAAAGCAAGATTTCTGCTCAGTTCCTTTAACCAATATTTTTCTAAGCTAACATTTAACTAATGCAAAATGTATATAATTACATATAAGGTACATATGTTTATCTCTTTCTTTTTCCCCCCAAAGGTTGGGGCAGAGCTGCTGCTGCTACATATCTTGTCGGTTTTGTCATCCTCTGCATCTGTTTCTGCTTAGCAATCATAGCATTTTCCATCGATATATTGCGGTTTAACTTTGTTCGAGGAATTGGTGGCTTGCTCTTCGTTGTTGGTAAGCCTGTAAATAAGAGAACTGATTTTCTGACAAAGTATAATTGTTTGTGACTTTCCCAAAATATGCTTCTCTCTAGAATATATATATAAAAAAGCTTTAATTTCTTAGTCAGCTCTTTCCCATTCTTGTACAACTTTTCTTAGATTTCATATTAGCAACAAACTGTTCAGACTCAACCAGGTCAGCTTTCTTAATTGAAGCTAACCAGCATTAAGCCATCATTTAGTTTCTAATTTGCCTCCCCAATTTTATTTTTTAATAGGCAAGTATCTTCATTTTGGAGAAAGTTTTATATGTTTTAGGATATTACTGTATTATTATATATGTATT